ACAAGTTGGACACGTGATCGCCGTTCCTCCGGACCCCACAACTAGTGCCCGCACAGCACTGTTTGCCCGGATTCATCACATCGCAGTACTGGCCCTGCAGTTGACACCTCTTTCCCGATGTTATCTTTGTGTCACTTCCTAAGGGTTTATCACAAAAATTGTCTTAAATTTAATACATTATAAAACTACAGTATATTTAATGTCTGCTAAAAATAGATTTTTCTAATATGTTATAATTTATAATCTATCCATATAGTATTTATAAGCAAGTACAAATTTTTCTAACATGGTTAACTCACTATGAATTGATATTAAAAGTTTACATTAACAGTAAAGTGGCAAAAACTCCAACATTTATAAATAAAACTTAACTTACATTGATGCTTATTTAATAAACAGTAATAATCACAAACTAAATATATTTATTAAACTAAAAAATACGAGTAATACTGTACCAACTTGGTTATAACACCTACAATATTTTTACCAATAAAAATCAGTAACTAAAAATCATAAAAATGAATATTGTATACTAGCAAGAACAATTATAACTTGAAAAATAATTAGTTTAAAGACATACCTTTAATAGAGAAACCGTTGCAAACAATGAAAGCAATGCTCGCAATCAATAGATATTTCACACAAACCTCCATTCAGTTTACAAGTTTACGTAACATTCAGAAAACTTTTGCTTTTTATTTTTGGTGCCAAAACTTTTTAGCAACCTTTTAGGCTAACACTCGCACTGTCAAGTATTAACATAAAACGCCAATTTTGAACTCAATTTATATCTGATTTTCTCGTAAATCAGATAACTTTCGCGCAAATCGTTGTATTAAAATGTTTTTGCATTAATAACGGGGCTCTATATTTAGCATTAAAAAGTAAAAATAAAATAAATGGCAATAAATGTATATATATTTTGGATCCAATGCGAGATTAATTGGTTTTATTAGTCGTGTTTTTATTGCTTTTATATTATTATTAAATTTCGATTAGCGTTTGGGTCAACGATTTTGTTGTGTTTTTTACTATGAATACCACAAACCCAGTGATGATCTCCTGAAATATACACCAATTAATACCCAAGGCTTTCATTGGGTAGCAATTGTGGGACTACTATTTTGTATCAATTAAACTTATATTAAGGTTTTTGATTAAGAACTAAGACTTCATTAAAATATATATTTCATTAAAAATTTGAAAAGTGATATTAAATTATGTTTAAAAATATTTATAAATTGTAGTTAACTTTGCTAGTACTTATGTTTTCACATTAGTTAATTAAATAAATTAAAATTTTAAAAAATAAATTTACTACACTGGTCAATACAATAATCTGAAATTAAATAAAATTTAAAAAGTTTAATTAGTTAAGATATTTATATGTCTACGTTAATTAAAAAAATAAAATTCATTAATAAATAAAACTATTAATTAAAATGCAATTAATATTTGGTGTCTAATGTCAAGTACAGTTTAGTTGATTTTTATTTCAAAGCAATTATGCGATGAAAAGAGAGAGAAAATAAATACTTTTATTGATTTAATATAAAAAGACAAAAAGTGTGTCAAAAGTTGAATAAAATATCACTGATATTTTTGCATTATATTATATTTTAAGTATTCATTAAATTTGTATTTATAAATACACTTAATTTTCTTTCAAACCTTATTAACCAAACTCTCTCTCTCTCTCTCTCTCTCTCTCTCTCTCTC